CTGCATGCAGTGAGATCGCAAGGCCCTATGGCTCCTACCATATGCTGGTGGAAGTATGTAATGTTGTAGTGGTGGGAGGGCTCTTGTTTCTTTGCAAGTAGAGGCAGCAACTGAGACTTGGGTATTATTGATTGAGGAAGCCCACATCTGAGGGGTTGCCACCTAAAGAAAAGCTCTGGGTGTGTGTACCATGCTGTTGAGGAAAATAAGTACCAAAATATCTGTTGGGACATACTTGTGATGAGAATAGCTGTATTCATTACTTGAGTTTCCAAATGTGTTTTTTCTTTAGTAGTCTCTAACAACAAGACACCATGGTGTATGACAAAAAGCAAAAAGGAGAGATGAGCACAAAGAGTTGGTTGGGAAGACCTTGAAGGAAAAGAACTATTGTGGAAGCTGGGAAATCCTTGCTGAGGTTTGGAGAATAGCTTGCACTAATTTTTGTAAGGAATCAAGGGGATATGGGATTTTTTTGGCATGTGTATATATTAGCCAAAGTAGGAAACCTTTGGCTTTGTAGCTCAGAACAGCAGAGAATTCTGAAACTAGCACGTGTGGCTTTGGCTTTTGTTGTCTAAGCAAGGTGACAATAGACATGAATGCCTGAATGCTGGGGTGAGCACCAGGTCTTGGAGGAAAAATGCTTAGTTCTGACATTGAGGAATAGAAAGAAAATAGAGAACTAAGTATTTATTAGCAAAGAGGAGAAAGCCTTCTTTGATCCCAAATGATTTGGGGGTCCAAAAATATTTCTGACAGCTCTGGGAAGAGCAGAAATGAGGTTGGTGAGCATTCTTTAAATAGTTTCCTCCAAAGGATGTTGAGTGAGCACAATGGTGGCACTTGTACCTGTGAACACTTAAAAAACCCAAACAACACAGTGCAGAATGAGATAGTTGATTCTTCAATGGCCAACTCTTGCTCCAAATGTCAAGTCTTCATCACTCACTATGGAATTCAGAGTTTTATTGGACTTTTGGCTTCTTATACTTCAAATAGCAATTAGCCTTTGTGAGATGGAGGACTATTAAAAGAAAGGAGGGAAGTGGTGGAAAGAAAAGAAAAAGGGTTGGAAGAGTAGCAATACTGCAGAAAAAAAATTCATGTAGAAAGTGAAAATAGAATCAATTTGGTCTTTGTACAGATGTACCAAAGATAAATTTTCTGGCAGAGAAGGAAGAAGAGCTAGGGTAGGAATGCAATATTTCAGCAGGCCTGTCATTCCAGGCGGGTATAGCAGAGGCGTTTCCTTGCAGGAAAGCAGCTCACCTTGGTTTGTCTCTCTGGTGGCACGTGCAAAGGAAACTCTTCAGTACGTCAAAAATGAGTGCACTCAGAAGTCTATGCAGGCACCTTACTTCTGTCTCATCCCCCTCAAGTTCTCATCAGGAACAATCCCCAGTTAAATAAGGGGAAAATACAGGGACGCTGATGAAAGAATAAACTGATGAGGCAATAAAAACTCTTGACTTCTGAGATGAGCTGAAAGCAGGACCCATCTTGAATTGCCTCTCTGGAAAGGTGATAATTCCATGGTGCTACACATAAAAATTGGCAACGCAGCTATCGGTGAATTCTGCAGTGGCAGAGACCATGTTTGGGATCTCTCCCAAGCCTGGGTGATTGGAGTCTGAACTCCAGGAGAGCAAAGCAATTAGCACTGATGTGACATTCACAACTGAGGCAGTCGAATGCCACCAGTAGTATATGTGCAAACTGGATAGGTCTTGGTATTTACAGCTGGTGATAATAAACCTTTTGGTTTCCTGGCTTCAAACTAGTGACAGATTGAACTAGAAGAACAGTGCAAATAATGTTGCAAAAGTCCCTCTCACGTAGGTGGGTATGACACTGAGCAACCAGGTCCTTCCTGAGGTCTGGACAGTGCAGGTGTGCCACTCAGAGCAGAAGTCAGGCAAGGTGCACCGCAGCTTAGGTCAAAGTCTGAAGCAGAAACGGTCTCTTGACTTTGTAGATTCATATTGCTTCCATGGACACCTGAGTTAATTTCCAGAGTTAAAGCTTCGTGGGTTGTGTGCAATGAGCTGTTTGGTCTCTCTCCAGGTTCCCAGTGGACAAACACACCTTCATCTCATGTTCAGCCCCCTCGATCCAAAATAGTACAATTGCACAGAGTGCTGGCTGCAGCTTAATCGTAACAGATGTGGATCGAGTGTGTATAAAATAAAAAAAAAAACCACTCCCCCTTCTCCCCCATCCTGAAAAACTTCCTTGGAAGGAACAGCTCAGTCTTTGTGAGGAGCTGAGAAAGCATCTGACTCTGACACGGTTGCCTTACGGGACCTCACTCAGCCTAGGTTGCATAAAAGGGCTTTATAGGATTATAAAGGTTCCATGCAGCGGCAGCTCCAAGGCAGCATTTCAGGTGGGGGCACCGGCTCTGCCTGTGCTTGTTTATTATTGATGCCATGCTCTGAAAAGTGCCACCTCACCCTTCTTCCCGGGGCTGCTGGAATGTGAGTGCAGAGCTGAGGCGGTTGCATCGGGCTCCTCTGCTGAAATGGGCATGGATCCAGCACCGGGGAGGGAAAATGTATGTGCGTGTGCACGTGTGCTGCTTTTGCTTGTGGAGGTCTTCACCTGGAAGAGCTTCGTTGCTTGTTGGCTAGGAAAAGTCCCTTTCTCCTAAATCTACTCATGGTCTTGATCTGGAGATGCTTTCCTAATTCACTTGCTTTGCTCTGATTCAGACCAGCTTGAAAGCCAGTGAAATTAGTGTAAACAATAAACCAGGCAGTGATGGACGTGTCTGTGTTCACCGTGCGTGTTGCATGACTTGTTCTTCACCGTTTGGACTTTCATGTCCCCTTTCCTCTAATGGGTGAGGACAGGGCAGAGCTGGGTCAGGAAACAGGAGGTGGAAGGTGTTCTTCTGCCTTCTCTATAAGAAGGTTGTATTGGTGCCTTGTCTTTGAGTTGTTTTCTCAAAGAGGTGAAGTGGCTGTCTGCGTGCTGGCCCAGCTTTCTCAGCTCACTGTGGCTGTTATCCACGTGTCCCAGATATCAGAGCTGGAGAACTCCTACCCAAGCCTTTTGCACAGAGCAGTGAAAATGGACATTGATGACAATTGGCCCACTTAATGCTTCAATTTTCTATTGTTTCCCAGGACATTCCATCCACTACTTCTAAACGGATGCTAGAGAGCTGGTATTGTGCTTACCACAATACCCTTCTCCCTATCCCAGGCTCTTTATTTTGTTTTTCTTTAGGTGAGTCTTATTGAGACCTACTTCAGAGATACATGCAAGTGGGCTGTGCTGTCAGCAGCCACACTTTGAAGTATCTCAAAGCCAAGCACCTAAGGGGGAGGATGGGGAAGGGGTTCAAAATCACCAATTGCTCTGCAGAATCCTTGGCCGTAGGATCAATTCCTTCATCCCTCCTCGCTGCAATAGCTGTCTGCTATGTAATACTTGGAGCTTATGTTTTCCAGAATGTTTAGTTGAACGTTACCTGCTCAGAAAGGTAAACTGAGGAGGGGGAGCTGTAGAAAATGCTTTTATGCTTTCCTCTCTCTTCTTTGCCAGCTGAGGATATCTCTTGCACCAACTGTGAAAGCTTGCAGGAATGAACCTCCTGAGCAGAATTATCGATGAAGGCCAGGAATCGATGTCCCACAGATTTTTCTTTACTACTGTGAAGCTCAGACCAAGCCACCTTTCTCGTGCACAAGCCTCCTTGGAGTGTCAGTTAATGAGGCACCCAGTCTGGGTGATGTCCTGTCTCCTCGGGGAGCAGTCAAGCCCAAGTCCATGCTCTGTCCCAGTCCAGACAGAACAAAAAACCATGAGGGTTAACATTTGTCAGTGCTTCAGATGGAGCTTACTATTTGGCCTTCTGAATGGTTTTTGTCACTTTTGGAGAGCAGAATTTGGGGAGAAAAATTTTTTTTTTAGAATTTACACTAACTTTGTTTCCCACAAGTCACTCTGACTTGACTTTTTCTATTACAGTTTATCTTTCTTGAAATCCTAATACTTTTGAAGGTTACTGAAGGAGAACATTTCCCTCCCCATCTCTATTCCCGTAAAAAAAAAAACCCAAAACAACAACAAAAAAACCCAGAAACCAAACCACCAAAACAAAAAACCCCAGCCAAACCCAGTAATTTTTTTCTCACCTCCTTAAATGACTGGCTTTGTATGGGATGTTGCTGGCTGTGGCTCAGATCAGGATTTTGTGCCCATTGTGCAAGGAGGTTTGGAAGTTAAAGCATCCTAGCTACTTGCCCTCTGGGATTGTGCTCCTGGCATGATGTGTCCCACTGATTAGAGAGAAATCCTCATTAAAAACCCCCAATCAAACAACAAGCCACTGCTCCTGCAGGACAGGTGGGGTTTTGATCCATCTGCATTCGGTGAAGGGGGCGAGCGTGTGTTCCCCTCCCATGCCCACCACCCCAGGACCTCGGTGGTCCTGCAGCGATGGAGATTTCCTAAGCCTGCGACCCATCCCTGTGCTCGCCTGTGCAGGATCGCAACCTTCTAGCATATTTTTTAGTTCTGGCTTTAAGCAATTTTTTCCTTTTTGGCTGGGGAAACGCGTCTTCAGGTCCTTCAAAACCCTACATAGTGATTCCCATTGACTGCGTGGACTGGCACCTCGCCGGAAAAGGGCAGAGCCAGGAGAGTGGGGTGCGGGCAGCCCGGCCAACAAACCGCTCATGAGCCCAGCAGATGTTCCTGCAGCCTCTCCGCTCCCCGGGGCCGATGCCAGCCTGGTCCTTTTCCAGCAGCTCGTCACTTGACACCGGGAACAGTACGCTGGCTTCTTTTGTTGCACATTGTACGAGTCAAGGACCTTGTGCAAGGGAGAAGGCAACAGGACACGTATTTCTTCAGGTCGTTTTTTAGGTTTTGAGCTCATTCTTCCTTGTAAAAGCTTTTGGCAGTATCGCCTGTAAAAGTGTATCCTGCTCTCGGGCTTCAGGCTGTGGCTCGTTAGGATTTATGTAAGGATCTCTTCTGCTGAGGGCAGAGTGGTTGTAGGAGCTTTATCAGCGTGTCTCTTGGGGTCTGGTGGGACCCATCACCCTCTATCCCTTCTCAAGATGCTTCTGGCTGTGCTTGATGTGCTAAAATGATTTTTTTGTTTATGCACAGGATATTGGCATGTAGTTTTGCTAGTTTCCCAATTTTATGCGGTTTAGATACCTTCAAGTATTTTTTCCCTATTTCAGTTTTTGACACGCTGTCTTGTGATGGAGATTGCTAAGGTCTTATGTCTAAACAAGCTCTGTGAGAGCTGGTAGAAGAAATAAACCCAAATAACGCTGTTTACCCTTTTCTCCTTGCTCCTACCTTGCACACACTGCAGAGAGGCTTGCTGTACAATCGCTCCTTGCCCAGGCATCGGCAAGTCCACGTGGGTGCTCAGCTGGGGATCCCACCACAGTCCTCATTCCTGTGTCAGGCTGTATTTCTCTCTCCTTACCCACGTGCCGCTCTGTTCCTCTGCAGGCTGACGGGGAACGAACCCCTGACCATCCTCCCTCTGACCTCAGAAATGGAGGAAGCTGCCGTCAAAGCCCACTACAAAGTCTGTGACCGCCTGAAGCTGGAGAAGAAGCAGCGCAGGATGTGCCGGCGGGACCCCGGTGTGGCCGAGACCCTGATGGAGGCCATCAGCATGAGTGCACTGGAGTGCCAGTACCAGTTTCGCTTCGAGCGCTGGAATTGCACCCTCGAGGGTCGCTACCGGGCCAGCTTGCTTGGGGGGGGGGGGGGGGGGGGGGGCAGGTCTCGATCAGGGGTGCTGGCACCCTCTGCACCCATCATCAGCTTCCCTGGAGTTTTGCAGAGTGGTCACCCTGGTGCATCCTTTGCCAGCGGTGGATCACCACCCCCCCAGAGCTCCCAAACGAGCTCGTAGAAGGTAAAGACAAAGCTAGGTTCAGCTCATCCATGAAAGCGCCCAGCAGGCAAAGGACACGCAACGTGGTGATAATTCCTGCGCCTGTACCAGTGAAGCAAGCCCTGTCCGCCTCCCACTGCTGACCACGGCTTCCCTCCTTGGAGGCTGGAGATTGTCGTGTGTCTGTCTGAAGCCAGGACCTACCTTTGCTCCTCACTTCTGCTGAAAGTTGAGCTGGTGCTGGAGGGGAAGGTGTTAAAGTTCCTAAAGCTAAAGTTCCCTCTCTTTTTATTATTTTTTTTTTCTACTTTTCAACCTTTACAGGAAAGAAATTGAGAAAATGCTTTAAGGGAAAGAAGGCAAAACAGGCTGTGCTGTTAGTGGGGGCAAAGGGAGCCCTATCATAGTGCAGGGCAAAGCCTGCAAATATCTGTGTGTCCTGTTACTGCTTTACCCAGGGAAAAGTTCCCTGGATGCGAGTGATGGGTAATTCCCACACCCTGTCCCAGCAGCTCAGCTGGAGACGGCCAGAGGCTGAGAGGGAGTATTCAAGGAGCAGGTGGTATTTTTATCTCCTTCCTTTGTGCTACCTCATATAATCCAATTTCCTGTACCCTCCTAGTAAAATCCAGATCTTATTTTTGGACTGAAGATAAGGATGCAGCAGGACCACTTTACAGATAGCTTGCATGGGTCTCAAGGGCTTTGTTGACTTCCAGAAAGTCCCACACTCAGCGATGGAGCTGGACCTACAAACCCAGGATCTGACATGCTCAAAGATAAGAGCAGAGGTCTGCAAAGTGCTCTCACTCGCTAATTAGTGAGAAGTAGTAATTCAGAAGTGCTGAGGCTTAACTAATGCACTGTCACTGACTGCAGTGGAAACAAGGAAAGTCCTTATGAAACCCAAGAGGTCCAGCCAGAGCTGCAAGACATTTAAAAATATCCCCGCATGCCAGAGGAGTCCCTGGATTAGTGGTGCCTTGGGAAAGCCAAGCACTTTCTCATGCTGACACCTGGAGGCCACAGCTTGTTCCTTCAGATGTTCCTGCCCCCGTGGACAACCCTCGGCCAGGGGCATTTCAAAGCGGCCTGAAGCCGAGCTGCCTTAAAACACCATCGAGAATCCCCCACCCCTTGTCGGGACCCCGTGTAATAAATGATAGCTCTGAGGTTGCAAGGCTCTGCCTGCTGTCTCATTCTTCCATGTTTTATGCCCCTGCAACATCTCTGCCCTCCGCTGATGCTGTAAATCCTTCAGGTGGTGTTCCCCGCGGCGTAACACACTGTCCTGTAAATCTTTCTACTCCTCTCCGGGAGCTGCTGGTTCCTGGTTCGGCATCGCAGCAAGCGATACCCCAGGGCAAAGGGGCACATGTATCACCCACTGAGACAGAGCTGTTCAAGTATGTCAGTGTGAGCTTGCTTCCTCTCCTCCAGGACCACTGCAGCTTTTTAAGAAGAAGAAAAAAAAAAAAAAAGACAACCTCCCCCCCCATGCTTCACTTAAAGTTCCTCCCTCCATTTTTACTCGGTCACCAGAACAGCCTGGCTGCTGGTTTGCAACTTGGACTGATGCAGCCTGTTTCTTAAAATAACGGGGGATTGTTTAAGGGACTTGTTATCCTCTTTGGATACTCGTGAACAATTTTGGAAATGGCTGAAACTGGATATCTGTGGATGGCAGGCTGTCGATGCACTGGGGGTTAGAATGCCTGCATTGATTTTAAAGCTCATTATCTTGTTACAAAATATCTTGGTGCAATCAAATAGTGCATGGCGGAGATGGCTTTAAATCTGGCCAGAGCCAAATGTCACATGGACTTGCTTGGAAGCTGCCTGCGGGTGAGATGATACCTGTGCTGATGGGCACCGGGAATTCATGAGGCTTTTAATGATGGAGAATGGGAGGAGTAGAGCTGAAGCTGGTGGGGAGATTGATGGAGGGGGAGAACCTGGCAAATCAACGATTCCTCCTGGCTTTGTGTCAAACCTGGTATGCATTGTGGTTGCACGGCACTGACTTTCTGCTGAGATTTCACAACCGCTCTGAATTCAGTGCTCCAAACCAGGAGGCCTTCAAGCAGGTTGTAGATCTGGGCTGTCTACTAAACTGGACGATACCCAGGCTGTTGCTAATCACAGTGTCTCAGACTCTCAGAGGAGAGTTTACACACCCTATTCCATCAAGGACCTTCTGGTAGCACGCTGGTACCTCTACATTTCATAGCACAAGTAGTAGCAGTGGCAAAAGACCAATTCTACAACCTGGGAGCACGGAGCCTTGGGAGCATCTCTCCAGCAGTGGCATCCCTTTGACAGGCGTGTGGGCAGTCTGACCTGTGGTGTAACCTAGAGAAAGCTGAACCTAGTCTACAAGAGATGAAAGGTGCCTGGAAGGTGATTTCTACACAGGGGAGTTTGGGGGTCTGCATTCCCATGAGTTTTTGTTGTGGGAGAATTCTTTACTTAATTGACACCACTCCCAATGAGAGTTTGCAATGCTGAAGATGTTTCTGGAATGAAGGACATGGTCTAACTTCAGGGAGAAAACAGAGGGCAAACCCCCAAATTTGGTTTCTTAACCCTGACCACTGCTTATGGTGTCCCCACTGAGCATGGAGTTGATCTTTTTTTATTTTAACCTTCTTTCCAATGAGGGAAAGGTTCCTGCTCTTCTTTTCCAGGTGAGCAGTAGAACAGTAGGATAATTCCTACCATGATTTGGTTTGAATCAGCTCCCTTGGGAGGACCAAAACTCAGTTTCCTGGACTGGGTTTTCATCTGTGTTCTGCTGAAGTTCACCTGGGAGTGCTTTGGGAAGGCAGGCTCTGGGGATGGGCCAGGGTAGGGCCCCATGAGCTTGCTTGGACTACCATGAACCTCCCAAGGAACAGTTCCAAAAATGACCTGGCAGTGTCTCTTCATGTCCTTGGTTGACACACCAGCTTACAGATATATCCACTACTGTCACCATCCACTTGTGTTATTTCTGAGTGGGGGATTTCTTGAGTCAGATCCAAAGCTGTTCTGGAATTGCATCTCAAATATGCAGTCGTTTACGGCTTCCATAGCCGGAGAATGAGGAGCTATAAATACTGGCATGTTTGCTTTTTATTTCTGGCTTTTATCATTTGGAGTGAAATCATGGGTCTCTCTGGGCCTCAGTTTACCTCCTGGGGAGAGGGGATGCTGTTGCATCCCTGCAGGAGAGCATAGAGGTGTAAAAAAAGGGTTGTGTGTGAAAGGTTTGAGATGTGAACTGCTTTTTGAGGTATTTGAATGAGGTCTTGCTTTGGGTGACAGGCTGGCTACTGTGTGCTTCTCAGCCCTCAGGTGCTTTTTGTTAACAATTTTCTTGCACTGGAGCAGGACTAGTGATTTTTTTTTCTGGGGAGGGGTAAGAACAAGGAGCCCTCATGATTTCTACCCCAACCATCAGTCTGGAAGTCTATGCTATGTTCCTGCTATTTGATGTCCCCTCATCCCCTCAGTAGCAGTATTGCTGTACCATGGTGATGGCACCTCCATGGCACGTTCAACTCTTGCTCACCTCTTTCTCTTTTCAGGCAGAGACTGTCTGCACAGGGACAGCCACAAAGCTGGCCAGACTTCATTTGTGTTCTTGAGTCCTGGCTCGTGCCACCTCTGTCCACTATCCATCATTCCTTGCTTTCCACTGTGTCCTCTCCACCGTGTCCTCTCCACCATCAGTGATGCGCGTAGAGCTTGGCATGCTTTGACATTGCTCAGACTCTTCTCACAATGAGTTTTGCCTTTATTTCCTCACTCTCTTCATTAACTTTTGCTCCAGCTGCAATTAAAGCTGCCTGCTCCTCTTTCCTGCAGGTTTTAAGGAGACAGCCTTCTTGTATGCCATCTCCTCTGCGGGGCTTACGCACGCCATGGCCAAGGCATGCAGTGCAGGGCGGATGGAGCGTTGCACCTGCGATGAGGCCCCCGACTTGGAGAACCGTGAGGCTTGGCAGTGGGGCGGCTGTGGTGACAACCTGAAGTACAGCAACAAGTTTGTCAAGGAGTTCCTGGGGAGGAAGCCCAACAAGGACCTGCGAGCCAGGGTGGACTTCCACAATAACCTCGTGGGGATGAAGGTGCGTTGCAGACTGCTTAGTGTGGGGGGTGTTACGCTGTTCTGGGGGCAATAAAATGCTGCACTTAAGTGTGGAAACAGTAGCATTGCATGCAAAATGCATGGAGTGATCATTCTGCTGGAGAGGTGAAGTCTCACTTAAGGGACTGGTTTTGTCACTGTGCTTCAAGAGCACAGGCTGGGTGGAGAATGGATTGAGAGCAGCAGAGAGAAGGACTTGGCAGTGTTGGTGGACAAGAAACTCAACATGACCTGGCAATGTGCGCTGGCAGCCCAGAAAGCCAACCGTGTCCTGGGCTGGATCAAAAGCAGCGTGAGCACCAGGTCGAGGGAGGGGATTCTGCCCCTCTACTCCGCTCTGGTGAGACCCCCCTGCAGTGCTGCGTCCAGCTCGGGGGGCCCCAGGACAAGGGGGACGTGGAGCTGTTGGAGTAAGTCCAGAGGAGGGCCATGAAGATGATCAGAGGGCTGGAGCACCTCTCCTGTGAGGACAGGCTGAGAGAGTTGGGGTGGTTGATACTGGAGAAGAGAAGGCCCCAGGGAGACCTTATAGAAGCCTTCTAGCACCTAAAGGGGCTTATAAGAAATCTGGAGAGGGACTGTTTACAAGGGCGAGGAGTGACAGCACAAGGGGTAATGGCCTTAAGCTGAAGGAGGGGAGATTTAGATGAGATCTGAGAGAGAAATTCTTCCCTGTGAGGGTGCTGAGGCCCTGGCACAGGTTGCCCAGAGAAGCTGTGGATGCCCCATCCCTGGCAGTGTTCAAGGCCAGGGTGGATGGGGCTTTGGGCAAGCTGGGCTAGTGGAGGGTGTCCCTGTCCGTGGCAGGGGGGTGGAACGAGATGATTTTTAAGGTCCTTTCCAACCCAAACTATTCTATGATTTGATGATGAGTTGTGCAAAACCATTGGTGGGAGACCATAGGGACAGAAATAGAACTGTCCAGGTCTAGAAAACATGACCGGGGTGGGGAAGACTCCTGCCTTTCTACAGGGAGGAGAGAGTCTTACATGCAAAGGGTTGGAAAAGCAGGTGCTCCAGGCTTACATGAGGTAGGACAAGGAGGAAGGGATTTATGCTTCCACAACACAAGTTGAAGAATGCTTTTCTTGTAGCAGGTCAGTAGAGCATGGACAGTCTAGCATCTCCATAGCCAGGTTTCTTTAAAACTGGCCAGATAAACACCTGGTGGGGAACCAGAGTGGAGATGTTCCTCTCTGACTGACCTCAGTCCTAAAAGTCCCTTCAGCCTTGTTTTCTGGCAGAAGCCTCCCATGTTGCCTAGAGCTGCTGGGTTTGTAGCTTGGACAGTGCTTAGGTGTATAGTCCCTCTTTTCTTTTCCCATCCTTATCCTCTCTGTTGGAGGACTTTCTGCTCTTTATCCCAATTTCTTCCCATGAGGATTTATCCTCCTGCCTGGGGGGTCTCCCTGCAGGACTGATGTAAAGGACAAAGTGTCTGCAATTGCTGGGTCATCCCAGCAAGAGAAGGGAAAGGAAGGCTTTCCACCTTCTCCTATAATCTGCTTGGCTGTACCTAGCCTAGAGTTGCTTGAACACGAAAAGCCCTCAGACTGGCCAGCACAGGTGCCCAGGATCAGTGTTCCGTTGCGCCAACCTCGAAGGGGGACATACTGTAAGGCTATAAATAGCCTTTGAGCCTTGTTATTGTCCGTGTGATTGGATGGAGGGTTGGGGCTGGGATGGGGGACCTGGGTCTCCAGTTTCCCAGGCAAATGCAGCCCAGCCAGTTGTGCATTCTAGGAATCGCCACCCCAGCTCAGTTGTTCCTGTGCGTATGCATAAAATGCCATTCCTCACGACAGAGTTGGGGCATCAGAGAATGCTACCAGTGAGTGCTAGCCAGCAAAAAGTCTCCCCCTCTCCCACCACCAGATGCTCCTAGACAGCGCTGACATCAGGATTAGAAATATCCTGGATTTAGCTGGTGTCTGGCTTTGGCTGACAGCTTTTCTGCCTCTGGATTAAAAGGCTCAGTGCCTCTGAACTCCTGTTGCAGCTCTTTGGCATGTGAAACAGGCTTTGCGGGGTGATGAAATTTGTTTTAATCCTTGTGGTTGGTTGTTCCTGAGGGACTATCCCAACTCTTTGGAGTTGGCTGTGTAGCAAATGGGACTGAAAATGGAGAAGATGGTCCATGGAGGCTGTGATTTCATGCTGGAGATTGCTGTGAGATGACTCTAGAAAGGGAGGAGAGCAGGGATATATACAGCCTCACCAAAACCTACAAGGCTATTGTTTTAGGTGCCATTGGCATTTTCTTGTAACTCCATGAATATCTCCCCTCCAGCAGTGGTGGGGCTAAAAAACTCGGCCAAAGGATTTGACCAAACTCCCAGTGCTTTCCACCCCAGTAGCTCCAGTCGAGATGCCCATATGTCTGAGACTCAGTCTTGGATAGGTTAGGTGACCTCATTTGTCATCTCTGCTCTATGCTGTCTGTGCAACTTCGGGCTAAATGAACTCCAAGGATGAGCTGGAGGGAGTGAATCTCCCCTTTTTGCCTGCCCTTTCTTGTCCAGATCCCACTGTGAGCTAGTTCTTAGGGGAACGGGAGATGTCAGGGACTCTTGCATCCTCTGCCTCCACTTGACTTGGCACGGTCAGGGCTTGGTCATTGGCAGTGGTTTCTAAGTACTAGTGTAATATCTGCAGCTAAACAGCTGAGTAACAGTTGTGACTGTTGTCCAGACACTGAGAGCCCTCATGGCAATCCACATCAAAGACCTTTGCTGCAGGTCAGTGATCCGGTGTTCCTATTTTTGTCCACCCACGCCGTGTCTGTCAAGTTGGTGTTGCTGTCTGACAGCTTTTCTTGCCCATTTGCAGCAGTGGTTGAAATTATTTCGCTGTTTATGCTCCTAGAATAATTGTACCTTAGCCTGGCTGAAAGGCAAGCCAAGCAGCCCACCAGATTCACAACAGCACTGTGAAGCCAGGCAGAGAACAGCGAATTGCATGTTGAGGGGGAAGCTTTTAGGAGGATGGTGGCTCAAGATCTATGTAGGTAGGATGTGTTGATCTAAACCATTGGCACAATATAGTATCAAGAAGATGATCAGAGAGGTTTTGAGTCAGAGATGAGGACCCAGACTGGCTTTATAATTGCAAGGTCAAAACTTGCAATGCTTGCTTAAGATTTCAAAATATTGAAACTGATTTGAGGCCTGAGCATTGACCACCTTGGTGTGGCTGATGGATTGTCTCTGATGTTACTTACACTTGGGTGTAGATTAATATCAAGTTCAATCTGCTGTTTCCCTCCTGGTCCTACTGCCATTGCTGTGCTGGTGGAGGATGCGAGTTGCTCAGCAGGCAGTACTAGGTTCCCTCACTGAATTTATTGATGGTTCCCTTGATGAAGACAGTGGGTTAAATATGAAACTCAGCATGTTTCCTCTACTTGTCTTTCTCCAAAGAAGTTGCCCATCAACTAACTATTGTCTTACAGACTTTCCAACCATTGAGTAGCAAGAAATGCTAACCTAGTGTCTATGACAGTCTGAAACCACTTTGAACTAACCTACTTTGGTTATTTGGGCAATAATTCATTTGTATTTGATGTGAATCAAAGGCACTATAGGAGTGCAGGTAGCCTTGATTTATGCCCTTTTGGAACTGAACAATTTTGAACTGGAGCGCTCGTTATGTAAATAAGATGCTCTTATGGCCTCTAATGTGTTAAATGTCCCTGTGAGTTCCAGAAAGATGATTATGGCCATTTTGAACGGGAGGTGAGATGCAAACTGAATGCCCTTTCCCCAGGTTACACAGCAAGCTGACGATGGAGCAGGAGACTGAAGCCAGCTCTCCTGAATTCCTGCTCAGCACCCGTTGTGTTTTTTCTGTAACAAAACCACAGATTTTATGTCTACTAGTGAAGCCATACATGCATGAACCAAAACCTTTGCTGAACTACAGCCTGCTTTGGGCTGGGAATGGACAAGGAGACTTTCTTTACTAGTACTTTGCTATGGGAGCTTGCTGAAGTGCCAGCCTATGTTGGTGTGCTTACAGTGTATGTGTGGATGTGCGTGTGTGCGTTCGCTGAAGGAGTGGAGGAGTATCTATTAAAGATACAGCACAAGCTTGGTGGTCTCTCGCTGATTCTTAACAACATATAATCCTTCCCCTCTATTTACTCCCAACCATGGCAAAATGTATAAATAGCCCCTTGAGACCCACCAAAAAAAGGACCTGTGCTTAATTGACTGATTTGGCAACCAACACTATACCCTTCTGGTCAACGTGGCAGTTTCTCCATGGTGTCATATTAGCAAACAATCTGCGTATTTCTGCAAGGGTGACATTATCGTATCCCGCCTAGTTTTAGTGTCTCTTGGTAGGCGTTCTCATTTAATTATTATTTTACTTCTGGTTTTTTTACAACCTTGATGGGCCGACTGTAATTTTGCTACACCAATGAAATAATCACTGAACATGTTGTGCCTGTGATGGCTCACAAAGTTATATGATATGACCTCAATCACTAATGAAAGGGTGAGCTTGTCTAGTGTGAGGATGAGGTAATTAGACCAGGACTTCTCCAGCCTTCTCTTTATTGAAAAGTAGGAGCTCTGAATAGACCACTTATTAAAAAAGCAATTTCCCTTCCTTTGCCAAATCTACTCTTGCTCATTCAGCTATTCTTTCAGAAGAATCTTGGGTGGAGAGGGTGTGTGTTGGGGGGGGGAGGTGTGTGTATGTGTCAAGGGAACGGGGGGCGGTGGTGCTGGGAGAAGTCAACTGTATTAAAGTTCCGTTGCCAGCAATGAAGCTTCTTGGTTATATTAAATGAAGCACAGGCAGCCTTGCTAAAGCTCTCTTCTTGTCTATATCCTCCCCCTTTTTATCCCCCCTTGTACACACAAATGCAGCCCCTTTTGTAACCCATTAATGAAAAGTCGGAATATTAGAGGACTCAATTAGTTCCACTGGGCTTGAGTAAGTGATGTTTTAATTAAATTTGCCCAGTTTCTC